ACTATGATATAAAAATTGTTATGTCAAAAACCACAAGGTTTATGTCAAAACGAAGAGAAAGGTGAAGCGACGGGGAAATTTACAATAAGTCTCCTGTAAATTCTTATCAGATAGCTAAAATTACAAAATCAAAGAAACCAGTAAGATAAAACAAAAGATGATGGCACATTAGCCTCATAGTTCAGCATCAAATTGATCAAGAAATTGACATAAAGATAAAACTTGTGCACTGTGGTGGTCGAGTATAATTCCATTATGGGTAAATTTTGTTTCGATAAAGTCTTACAGTGTTATACAGCTATGTTTACTGATGACCCCGTTTTGAGCACAATTTATTTCTGCTCATAATCATATCAAGACACTAATCACACGACTTCCTAACTTCATTTATTTACAGAGTTCCATTATTTTTCACTTGATTTTCACTTGATTTGATTGGTAGTAATATTTTGCATATTTCGGGCATGATTGATGAATCACTCCTATTGTATGTGTTTGGTGTAGACTCGATGAACAAGGATTTAGTGTCCAAAAATATGGTGGAAATATGTGGATGACACTTTTACAGTGTTAAAAACAGAACATATCCCTCTCCAGCTTCTTGACACACATAAACTCACTGGTGGAGAGAATAAAATTCACATTTGAATCAGAAAATGAACAAGAAGAATTAGTTATCATGTTAGATTGTAAAATGAAACGAATAGAAGGTAAACTACACACTGGTGTTTATAGAAAACCAACTCATTCTAATAGATATTTAGACTTTCATTCATCTCATCCGTTAACTGTTAAGTCAGGCTAAGTTAAGTGTTTAACAAATCAAGCAGTAGCAATAAGTGGCACAAAAAAGACCTAAATGATGAATTAAAACAGATGGAAGAGGCGTTGGTGTTGAATAACTATCCTATAAAATTCATTAGGGAGATCGAAAAAGGCCAAAATAAAAATGTAAATAATTGTTAAACCAGTAATAATAACACAAACAAGGGAGAATATAAGTCATCTACAGTTATACCATATAAAGAGGACACATCTAAGGCCCTACGTAGGATTCTAAATAAAGCAGGAATTAGGGTGGCATTCAAACCTACAAACTCATTCAGGTAGGACAAGCTCTGTAGGTTAAAGGACTCAGCTGACTCAATTAGACAAAATAATATAATTTACAAAATACCCTGCAATGACTGTGAGTTAAGTAACCTACAAAGGTCAGACTAGTAGGTCAGGGGTAGTCACATTGCAACAACATAAGCATTTAGCTAAGGTAAGAATGGTTGACCCCGATTTAGAAAAAAGCTCAGCGATCGCACTGGATGCACGCATTAACACACAACCACACAATAGGTTGGGTGGGAGAGGGTTAAAATTCTAAAAAGTAATCTAGGTAGGTGGAGAGAGAGGTTGATTACTGAATCCTTGTTCATCGAGTCTACACCAAACACATGCAATAGGAGTGATTCATCACTCATACCCGAAATATGCAAAATATTACTACCAATCAAATCAAGTGAAAATCAAGTGAAAAATAATGGAACTCTGTAAATAAATGAAGTTAGGAAGTCGTGTGATTAGTGTCTTGATATGATTATGAGCAGTAATAAATTGTGCTCGAAACGGGGTCATCAGTAAACATTACTGTATAACAGCACTGTGAGACTTTATCGAAACAAAATTTACTCATAATGATGAAGAAATTCTTTGTTAACAAAATCGATGTTGTAACAGTAGAAGACAAGATACAGAAGCCAAGGTATATTTTCAATCGATCAAACCGCTATTTGTATCTATTCAGTTTATATTCTTTAACCAATCATTGGGCGTGTGATTTTAGTTTACATTAAACGACATGAAATGGAATGTTCAAATATACATATATAGTATACTGTTTCTAATACAGTATTGAACTGTGAGAATAGTATTCAGACGTTAACACCAACAAATACTGTAAGAATATTATTCCGCTGGAAGCCATTATTGTCTGTATCACACCATCACAATATGACTGAAACCTCTTATTGGTGACCTCAAAAATCTTTAAAACTGACATTACACACATCCCCTATAGATTCCTCTACAGATCCAAAATTATCGGATCACATCACACTGACTTGTTTCAAACGACAATATGAAACACTATGCATACTATTGATTGAAATAAGTAGTTGAGGTTAGGCTTATGTCGGCCATGAGGTCTTCTCTCGGTTCACATCTAGCCGACTGCTTCATGACGAGTTTCGAAAACAACATTCTCGATCCCTTGATAAGTCAACTGCAGTTATACAGGAGACACGTGGATGAAACTTTCATAATATATGATGAAAAATCTGATTTAGATTATCTCCGCAAAACCTTCATCGTAACGCACCCATCCATAAGATTTACCTTAGAACATAAATCTAACAACACATTTCCGTTCCCCGATGTACTGCTCACCCGAAGACACGACTGTACGATCCAAAGATCGACATGTCGCAAGCCAAAATACACGGGACAGCTAATCAACTTCCAGAGCTTCGTCCCACTGATCCGAAAGCGAAACCTTGTATGTTCACTAAGTTCAAGGATTAGACAAATCTGCTCGGAAGACATGGTAGAGAAAGAATTAAATTTATTACGTGAAATTCTACCAGAGAACGGGTTTACACCAAGATTCATTGACAAAAACATGAAAGAGAAGCTTCCACCGCCAAACATTGCAACTGTTCCTAAGAAAACTGTCTTCATGAAGCTGAAATTCAAAGATGACATCGCAGAGGAAATTCTCAGAAACCACCTTTCTAAGTGTCTAAAGGAGACATTTCCAACCGCCACCTTATGTATCACATTCTCCAACAGACAGTTAATCCAGTCTAACGTTCAGGATAAGATACCGCTTTTGGCCACTTCAATGTGTATTCATCAATTTACTTGCTCGTGTACAGCAAAGTATATCGGGCGTACGCAACGTGAAGTCCATAAACGTATTCTGGAACACTGCCCAGTTTGGTTAGCCAGAGGAGAAAAGAAGAATAGTAGCAGCCCCATCCTCGAACACTTTTACATCTCCGAGCATCGAGCACCTCCGCATGAATGCTTCACAATGCAACACGGTGTCCCCAAATATCGTACAAAGGGACTTCGAATACACCATCTGTACATAGGTGAAGTACTAGCTATTCGAGATCTGAAACCGGACCTCTGCATTCAAAAGCGATACATACATTCTCTCATCCTACCGTGGCTAGAGTAAAATTCTTACTATAATTTTGCTTCTTTTTTATTATGTAATTTCACTATTATTGTTTTTATTATTAGCATTATTCCCATCATCCATACTTTATTACCACTCTATTACTGTTTATTAATAACATTCTACATAAGAACACTCTATCACCTTTCAACTAGTTCCTGTCCATTCTACACGAGCTTATTGATTAATTGGTCATTATCTCACACTTATTATGTCATGCCAAATTGTGCCTCTTTTCTAACTTACAATTAGTCATCCCTTCTTACAACTTACATTAAGTAATACATTTTTGAGGACAAAGTTGACCAGTATCTGATTGGTCTAAAGATTTCTTTGTTTAATATAATCACGATTGTGCAGCTCATGAAAATGAATCGCCGAAAAGTAGATTTTTTTCGCTGTTTCCGCCATTTTCTTGTAACAAGACATATAAGCGAACAATATTGTTGTTTTCAATTAGATCTTCAGGCTTTACCCTAATTTACATAGATTTATATACATAAATTTTAACCAATAATGGTGAGTTTGTGGGTCACATAATAATAGTGATAGTAATAATAATGAGGTAAATGTTTTGAACGTAGTTAATAACGACGATTGTCATGATAAAAAAATATTAATAATAAGGTTTATGCAGATGGCGATAAGAATAAGGAAGGTAGTAATATGTATACGTATATGTAGACAATTCAATAAATAAATTAGGTCAAATCTTAAAAGTTGCGTAATACTAAAGGTGAAGTGGACAGATAATCAGAGTTTAAATAAATATCATAAGAATACGAAGGAGATGGAAAGTAAGAAAGGGTAAGAGGATTTTGTAATTAGACCATGCACATGGTCCCGGGTTCGAGCCCACGCCGACGCACACCTGGTATCTATGGTCGGCCTGCGAAATTTGGGCTACCGATATTCACGCTAAAAATTCCATACTTGTACCAAAAATACAGTGTGGAATCAAGCTGTAATCAAAAATAAAAAAAATAAAATAAAAGTTTACCCAAGCAAACAAGGGAGAGACAAAGGCAGAACAAACTTCTTTTGTATGCAGAGACTAGGATTGTTCTCTCGAATTAATTCCCATAGCTTCGGCTATGTGTAAAAGGCGAGGGGTTCGAATTCCATTCGAAAGGCTCGTTGGAATGCGATATATAACCTTGAGAGCACTACTTCTGTCCACTTGGTGGCCGCTACCAATCAAATGAGACAAAATAGAACTCCTTATAGATTTTATCTGGCCTTTTCTGAACCATGAAGGAAGATGCTAATTAGTACGTTTGTTAAGCTGTCTGGTTGTTCGCCGTATGTAGCTCTCTCCACAGGAGCGAAGTCTTACATCTGAGATTATCGAGAGGGATAAAACGGACTTATACTACCGACACCCTCTGTTTTTCATTTTCCAAATGCCGACCAGTAGTGACTGCTCAAGCGAAAGATAAGCTAACTAGCTGTGCCACTTCTAAGTGTATCCATAAATTTAGTTGCTCCTGCGGAGAGAGCTATATAGGGCGAACAACTAGACAGCTCAACAAACGTACTAATAAGCATTTTCCTTCATGATTCTGAAATGGTCAAATAAAATCCCTGAGAAGTTCTATTTTGACTCATTTGATTGATGGCAGCGGTCACCGAGTGATTGTTTACGCCTTTTTTTTAATTATAACTCAATATGGGGAATATTTCCTTCAACCAATAATGTTGGCCAATCAGTTCAAGTTTAATCGATTTCTCATAATTATAAAATAAAGAAATTAAAGATTCTTTTGACAAATAAGTGTATTTATATTTGTGATATTAGTAGTGTATTGTTTTTTTTAAACAGAATATATAATTTTTATAAACAGTAACTACTGCTTTTCTTTTGTTTGTAGTTCTCATAGTCGGGAGATAGAAGAAATTCAAATGTGTATGAATAAAAACAAAATCATAGTTGTTGTTGTTTTTCATTTGTCTTATTGGAAATGAGATAGAAACTCATAAGACTATAAGGATTCCATTAAAACGAATATTGTTTAAAACTATTAGGTTATCTTTGTATACAAATATACTCACGTTTCTTATCGACTACTTAATAACCATAATAGTAGTATAAGTAGTATATATATATAATAAACTTGTATACCTCCTTATGACGCTTGTTCTATTGCCGGTTAAATAATTTTTTTGTCTAATATTCTACTTGTTAAACAATTCGCTTTATTCCTCTTCTCCTTTTTCCTCTTTTTCGTCTGATAATTGATACTTGATACAAGACACATGGTAGGAAAAGAAAGCGGGATATTGGGAGGAATCACACTGACTGATTTATTGGGTGAGACAGATAGATTTACAAATTGAAAATATATATTCTCAGTATTCATTATAATAATAATAATAACAATAATAATAAATTCATTCATTCCTTCGTCCAACCATCCATCCATCCATCCATCGACTGATCCGTCGATCGAAAACAGAAAGAGTCAATTTCCCACAACTGACCGCTTTTAAGAAGAGGAAACGAAGGTTAGTACATGAAGAGTATTCGTAACACTTGTGTGTGTGTGGGGGTGTGTGTGTGTGCTAGTGAACATCTTCCCTTCTTTTGATGCCTTTCAAAGGATTTGAACATGAAATGCATAAAAGATCAAATGCTGATGAGAATATCCTCGAAAAAGACAAATAGATTTTATGCTTTAAAAATAATTTTTAGAAAAAAAACAAAAGAGGTCACATCAAAATTGAGACAAAATGAAGGTTAAACGACAAAATACAATGAGTGTATATGTGTGTAGGTAACACGGCTATTGCATGTTTCACACTGAAAAATTATTATTATTATTATTATGAGTATTAGTAGTAGTATTATTAGTATTGTTGGGAACACATTGACAGGGGTATCTGAACACTTGGATCTGTTTCACTGACTATCCAGTAATAATATCAGTAATAATAATAATATTAATAATTATAATAATAACACTTTATTCTACGAACAGTTATATAAATAAAACATTGTTAATATGAAAACTTTTTATCAGTTAATTATCATTATAATTATTATTATTATAATTGTGTTCTTCTAAAGTAAGATTGTTGTATCTGGGACATTTTCATTTAACCACTTTTTGATGACCGAGAGATAAGCTTCAGTCCATTTGGTATTTTCTTTGAATCTTTTAAGCAAATCAGAGATTGCAACCCTTAGCAGATTATTTTCACGTAATTTTTGTCCAGATATCTGCATATCAAGTACCTTAAACAGATGAAAATAAGAAAAGGAACTGGTTTTAAGAGATTAAATTTGCTTCAAGTTTAGTCACAGATTGTTGTTATTTAGAGAACTATTAGAAATTATCAGGAAGTACCAGATAGGTGTTTCATCTTAGTTTGGACTCTGTTACTGGAGTAGACTTGATATCCAGTGGCTGCCTGTTGACTGAAGGGCGTGTGTACTGCTCAGCAACAGTTCACCCCGTCCTCCTTAATGGCTGTCAGTGAGACTTGACCATTGAAAGTGGAAGATATGAAAAGCCTAGCTGTCTGTCTGTCTTTAATCATAGGTGCTTGTCTGCATTCTATCCCCCGAGTCAAGTTGAGCAGTATTGAGGTTAGGCATCAGTCGAGTGCTAGGCTAAGTAAGGAGGGAAATCAATAGGCGAGGCTGTGAAGTTAGATTGATTGAAATGTTTTAGGACATGAGTTATGCATGCATCCATAGCCACACCACCTTCCTAGACCGACGGGCAATGTTAGCTGACATAGGATGGATCAAGTTGGAAAAAAGCCACTCACTAGTGGTGAAACCAAAACATGGCTTCATCAGTCAATAAAATCCACAACATTTAGTTTGAGCCAGCCATGTGGAAAGGCGTAGACTGACTGGCTAGCTGGTGTCCTCGGGATCGTCAAAACAAATGAACGCTGAAGGCAATTGATGATACGGGCTTAAAATCCTCATTATCTATGGCTCAGATGCATCCACTGCTTGTCACTTACAATATCCAATAAAACTACATTCTTCTACGATATTACTATTCTTTTAGTCTCATATCTCTGTTTACTGTCTGTGTTCTGTATTTGTTTTACTTTCTCCTCTTTCTTTGTGTGCTAATTGGAGGGAGTGTGGCGACTCGAACTACTGAACATCTGTGCATAGTTCTACGTTGAAACCAGTCAATCCGAGTTTGGAACTCACCGGTGGGATTTACCCACAAACCGGGATTCGAACCCAGGACCTTCCCGCTACAAGTTAAGTTGGTAGACCGACTCACTGATTAACCTATGAATTCTAACTTCTACAATATTGATGATTTTGGCGTGACTGCCAGTCGACTCATATCAATCTACGACCAAACTAGATTGATTAATCGATATTATTATTTTCTCCGGATCACTATTAGTCATACAGTTTTATTAACACTTCATTTTCATGTCAAACAAAGCACTCTGAATTAAGCAAGTGATGCTGTTTGGGGAATTTCTCCTCAAGACGCCGATTTATCAAATTTTTCAAATTCTCAGTATTAATAATAAATGAAGATAATGTAAGAGTTAGTGATTAGTCCACATTAGAATTTGATTGATTTTAGAATTAATTTCGTCACGAAATGATTGATAACATTTTGATGTAGTTGTGTTCTCTGAGCTAGCTGGATGATTTATTCGCCAAGCTTTCATTACCCCCTACTAGGTGGCATCTTCAGCACAAATTTCAATTTGAATTGAAGTGAGCTTTTAGATTTCTTTACGAATTAATTCGTCATCTTTCCTGGTGACGTTGAATGTGATTGGTTGTTTTTGTGTGTTTTCACACCTTCTTGGCTGCTTTTGGTGTTGGTACTGATTGTTTCCTTGACTTGAAGTTTGACCCTTTGTGTCTGAGATTTTCTTCTTATCGACTGGTAAATTTTGTCTGTGTCAATGTGTCACTGGAACACCAGTCTTTTAAAATCTCTCTAGCATTCTTGGTGTTCCCTCTGCCTAATACCTGAATGTTGTCCCAGTCGGAATGATGTCCATGGTTGCCTGTACGTAGTGATATCCTTTCAAATTGAAGTATGCGCTAAAGATGTCGCCTGGCAGGGCGATGAAAGCTTCGCAAATTGACTATCTAGTTTAGAGAACACAACCACATCAAAATCATCCATCTGAGCTACAAATGCTCTCTATATATCTGACTGATATCAGCTAGAAAAACCCCTAAACCCTGCGAATCACCGGGTATTTGCATCGATCGATCTTAAGAGTAAATTAGCAGAAGTGGTGTATAACCAACCAAGACCGCTTTTAGGGTATACCTAGCCTAAGATTACAAGACAGAAATGCTGCTTTTAAACAAGCCACTAAGTCAGCTGTTTGATTAATTACTGAGCAAATGGGTTGATCGGCGGTTCGCTTTGTTCTTGAATTTAAAGTAATTGGAAATCGTGAGCAAGTGAAATACAAGGCATTGAACGGATAATATCTTTTTCACTTCTTCGAAAGAATTTATTTCTGGCTGGCTGTGTATCATTTACTGGGTGGATTTTTGAGTGTTCACTGCTGACAGGTGAAATATATGAGATCAAGCAGTCAGTCTATCAAGTTAAGAAATTGTGCCAGTTGCTTGGTAACAAATTTTTGCTGCTACCGACGAACTCATTTATCCTGAAGTATGTGAAGCATGAAGGAATGCCATCATAAGATATTGCAAGAAGTTGTACGAACACATGAAACTCATAATGTGTATTTACAAACTTAACTACCCTAGTTTTGATCAAAGCAATCACTAATTTTTGAGGTTAAAATCACAAATCTGCTTATTCGGATAGTTTTAGAACTCTTGCTTTAACAATTGATTTCTTTTCAAGAGTTTGTTTGCAAGGATTAGATTTGTTTTTACAAGTTTGACCACGGATACTGATATCAGCTGGAGAACCAATGAAAACCCGCACTAGAGTACTGGACGGCTATTTCATCCTAATGCTTGGAAATCATTGACGCTACGCACTCACTGGGGGTTCGAACACAGGACATTTTGGGTTCCAAGCCAAGCTTGATTCCTTATTTTTCTACACTACACGTTCCAATACGTGTTAACTTGCTACTTATATATAGTCAGTCAGAGAATCGGTGACGCTTCAATCTATGGAATTCATAACACAGTCTATTGTCTGCATTGCTTATCAGTTCAAATTTACACAGTCTCTTGTTAAAAATGGAATAATATCGATAACATAGATAAAAAGGAAATAACGACAACTGAGGAAAAGAAAAGATGAAAAACAATTCGAACTAACTTCTTCCTGATCTGGTATGTTATTCAGTGTATAATGGCGTTTTGACAGGATCTTCAGCATATTAAATAACATGCTACTGAAAAGTAAGAGAGCAACAGTAAATCAAATATTCAAATATAAATTATTATTATTATTATTACTATTATTGTTGTTTTAGGACTGTGTAATCAGTAACTTTCTGTGTGAATTATGTTATTCAAGACTACTCTGAACATGTTATTGTTAATAAGAGTGACCTTGGTGCTGTAATTCACACTTCCCTTTAAAGTTGTGGCAAATTTTCTTATATATATATATATATATACATATAATTTTGATTTGACACTAGTAACTAGTGTGATGCGTCTAGTCCACTGATTGGTGTAAACTGAATTCTCTCAGTCAGGTTGTAATGTGACCACCATTCTAGCTAGCTCGCCATCACGGTGCATATTGATTTAATGGTATCTAATACCATCCAAAGAGGTTGAATCCGATGAGAATGAGTTGGCGTTCTTGGACTGTTTAGCAAAAAAAGAAAACTAGATGGCAAATTTAAAATAAACATTTTCAGAAAGCCGACAGATTCGGATAGATACCTAGACTACCATTCAGCCCACCCATTTACCACCAAAGTAACTGTGGTGAAGAATCTGATCAACAGAGCCAAACATCTAGTTACTGAGGAGGAAGAGATTAGCAAGGAACTAAAATTAGTTCAATCCACTCTTGAATGAAATAATTATCCTAAAGCCTTCATAAGAAGATATTTAAAATGTGAATATAAGAATGAATCAAAACCTGCTGCTAAGAATTGGGTTAGTACAGCGGTGGTTCCTTACCGCAAAGAAACATCCTATGAAATAAAGCGAATCCTTAACGAACATAACATAAGAGTGTACTTTCGTGCATCTGACACCTTACGCTTATCACTGGTGAAGATTAAGGATAAAATAGATCACGAAAACCAGCAAAAATGTGGGGATTGAAATGTCGTATTTGTACGAGAAACTTCCAGACAGGTAAATGCAAGAGTGAAAGAGCATAAACAATGTCTAAAGGTGATTCCAAAGACTTCTGCAGACTTGAAGAAGCTAGAAAACAACTCAGCGATTGCACTGCATTCGATAGAAACGGGACACAGTGTAATGTAAATAATACTTATCCATGCCTGTACAACTGGTGTGTCCTACATAGATGGGAATAAATATATATTATATATTAATGTCGACTTTGATAAGACTAAGGTTCTACAGAAAAGTTTTGGTTCGTATAAAGCAAGACTGACTGCAGAAGCCCTGCATATATGGGTGAATCCCAACAGTTTGAACAGACGTGAAGGTGTGATGTCAGCTGATGCATGGCAAATCCCAAGTAATAAATAAAAATTGGATTTGTATAAACAATTAATCATACTTGGTCAAAATTCCCGAATGTCTATATCTTCTTATAGAGAGGCTAACAAATGTTTTATGACTGGTAACCCTCCCCCCCCACACACACACCCACATAAACACCACACACCAGTGTATACTGCATATGCACACATGTTTTAACAAAAGTCGACTAATTTTGAAAGTCTGAGGTCAAATTTTGATCACAATTCATACAATTTTGTTTATTATACATGTTGATACCTGTTTCATTACTCATATAATTGGACAAAGTTTTTAAAAACAAGAGATGTTCCTTTTATATATATATATATATAAATCTCTGTTACGTTAATTTCGACTAATTTCCCCAGAAGAAGTTCGGACCAGATTGCCGAACGAAACATTGGAATTAATCTTTTCAATCTCGCTGAGATTCTACAAATATATAACTTTTACAAATAGTAGATGAATTTCTTTACAGACAAAAGTATGTAGGAAACTAGTTGTTCGTTTAGTTTCAAACTTACCTTTTTGTTATTGCCTGAGTTGCATTTTTACCTCTATTGAAAAATAGTACACAGAAAAAGAGAGGAATGAGATTATTTAGACATAATCATTTTCTATTTTATGATAAAATCTATAAGAATTCATAAAAAAGAAACAACTACCTCTTTCATTCTGAGTCTAATGAAGAGATCGTAGACATTTATAAAGTTATATTTGTAAAATATCGCAGACATGCTTGATGTTGGAATTCAGTCTGTATAAACATCAAGGACTAAATGCATAAAAAAGGTTACCATCTAGAGTCTGATCAAAGTATCCAGTACAGTTCTACAGGAGGTTACTCGCGAGAGATTGAAAACAGCTCCGTTGTAAAGTATATTCCTGCAGCACTGGGTAACCTAGGTTAAAATCTCAGAAGGGACATCATTTTTTTCAAGGGTGGAGATACACCTTGCTGACTAATAAGCGCTAGCACACACGAAGACTAAATGTAGGGCAGTCTGCCAGTTGTTTCTAACCACCTGGAGACGTGTTTATATATATATATATATGTTAAAACAATTAGTTTCTTTGATAAATTTGAATAAAGCATTTAGAAGAGAAATTTAGGGAGATTATATCTTCATTTCGTAGTTTCTTTACAATCGCTTTACAACTAACATGGTTCAAAATAATAAGATAAAGTAAACGGGCTGACAGTTACTCAGTTATGTAAAGCAAAAGTACATACTAATGACCAATCATATTTAAACAGGTCAAGTAGTCCACCTACTGTAACAGCAGATGGCAAGACATGAAGGCCAAGGTATATTTACAAGTGATCAAACTGCTATAGTTTTCTGTTGCTAATATACTATTGAACTGTTGGAAACCACTGTCTGTATGACACCACCACACTACCATTCAAGGATGACCAAATTATGTAGCTGACAGGTCAAACACTTCAGTCACCCATCAAACTCATATTCTACGCTGCATCTCCTTTTTACCTCACATCTCAAACATTTCCGATCTCTGTATCTACGAGTGAAGGACGAAATTCTGTTGACTCTACTCCAACCTGTATCTACAAGTTCACCTGTAGTTCCAATGACACTCATGTACGCAGAACCAATAGAATGCTCCAATGTGGTCGTCGAAAAGAACGCGTTCCAAAATAGTTATTTAAGCATTCAGAAAATCCCAGCGCAACTAATATGAATAGAAATCCATCAGTAACATCCATTGCAAAACACTTATTAATGTCAGGTCACAAATCAATATTAATGACTGTTTCACAATTATATCATCGCATAACTCTGATTCAAGGTTGGTTATTGAAGGTGATGGAAGCACTGTGGGTGATTAATCACATACATCCTAAACTATGTGTACAAACTTCTCGCCTACTTAGGACTACTTGACCGATTTAAAAATATGATAGGTCATTGGTATGTAGTTTTGTTTTATGTAGCTGAGCAATTATTGTTATTATTGTGAAATATGATAGTTGTAAAACGACTGCAGAGAAACTACGAAATGAAGTTATCATTTCGCGAAATTTGTCTCCTAAATGCCCTATTTAAATATATATGTGTATATATAAACTTGTGGAAATTAATTCGTACTGTAAGAGGATAACTGCAGATCCCCAAAGGACAAGATCTCGCACCTGATCACTTCTATATGTGTGTGTGTATATATCAGTTCATCTGTTACTGTGGAGACAGGCACATCGGTCAATAGACGCGCATCCTGTCAAATAGGGTCAAAGAACACTTTCCAGATTGGCTGCAGAAAGGAAGTAGTGCCTTTTAAGGAGTACAATAATCTAACATCTCTCCAACACTGTTCATTCCATCTCAATAAACGCTTCCTGCTTCAAAGTAATCTACAAAGTGAAGAACAGCCTGCCAAAGACAATACGTTTCCATCTCCTTTGCATTACAGAAGCCCTAGACATTCAGTTAGAAGAACCAGAAATACGTAGACAAAAGAAAATTATTCAACTACTTCGACGATCATAGTGACAACTCTGTTGATTTAAATTAACTTTTGCTTGTATGCTTTTTTTTCTAACTATTTTAAACTCTTACGCAATTCTGTATTCTATTTTGTTTCCATGTACACTCTGAGCATAGCTGTTTCATCAAACTATTTATGTTACTACATAACTTTTCCTGAACAATCATCGGTGACAACTCATCACTTTTGTTACTGCCCTCTTATGTCAACATCCAATTCATCTGAACTCACTAACTGTATTTTTGTTTGGCAGATTTAATGTACACACACATACAAAACAGCCATATATATTTGCAGTTGTACAGCTATGAAAATGAATTCGCCGCCGAAAAGAGACTCTTCGCTGAACTACTGGTCTTCTGTCTATCATTGTTTTCGACTGGGGATTTTTCCCGAAGTAACTGTCTACGTAGAATATATTTACCTAATTTCAACCAGTTGCTCTTCTTTTTATGACTTGCTTTCATCTAAGCACTATTATACATGGAACAGCTCGACTTTATACCATAAAAAAGTACTTTCTCCTCGAAAATGAATTATTAGTTAACGGATTAATTTCATGAATGTCATGAAATACGCTCATACTAAAACTTTCATGTATTATCTAACCCAGGCACACAGAACTCTGTTAAAATAAATATTGGCGGGGCTGGGATGAAGTGGGACTGGGACGCGGGGAGAAGAGAGGAGGAACAATTAAATTAAAAAAAAATTAAATATCAACCTTACTCATTTGATATATATCTCACTGCCTTGTGAACATGCTCCCATATCAGTCTTTGACCAATTGGAAATACAGCAACAGATGACAGGGCATCCAATGAATCCTGAGGATCTTTTTCATAATTCATTATAATCCAGTTCAGATGACTACATAATCAGGAAGATTAGAATAAAATTAGTTTTTAACAACAACAAAAAAATGTTTTCAGAATATTTCCATTGAAGTGATGTATATAATTAATGTGCACCTGAATGTCAAAATTTTCAAGAGTTGGTTTGTGTTGGGATTAATCACTGATGTTGATGTCAGTTAGAGGGCTATTAAAAACCCACCAGCTGTTTCGTCTTAATTCTGAACTCTTCAGTAGAACGCATCCATTAATGTTCGAGTTACAAGTTAAGCTAGTATACCATTCAGTCACTGGGACCCATTTTGAATGAATGCTAGCTCATGAATTCTAACTTCTATTAATTCGTGATTTTAACACGACCACCAGGCAGGAATATCACTGACGAGTAATTGTCCTCACTTCCTACCGCGTGGACACCAAGACTTTGCCGACGCATTTACTGAAATTTTATTGCGCATATTAACCGAATTGCAGTACTTTTTGTTTCTGCTTAAAATTAGAGGAATAAGCGTAAAATAAAGACATACATTTCGAATAATTACTGGTACAAATTACGGCTTTCTTAAAAAAAAAATAATTGTATTGATAGCTGTTTTCTGAAAGAATGCATTTATATGCAATACAGAACATGATAATATATATCAGCTCAATCGATATTGTTTTTGTCCTAGACATGCTGCAATATTCCACAATATTTCGCCTCCATTTCCGTGGAAAAATTCACAGTTATTATATAGGTTAAGACGTTTTTATAAATGTGTCTAAAGTATTGGTTTTTGTAGGGATTTCGTTTGATTGGTTGGAGGATTTCATCATGAGCTGGCCATCAGTTAGAGAACCATTGGAAAATAAGCTGGGAGTACTGGAAAGCTGACCATCCTAGTTCGGGATTCTTCATCAGTATACAACCATCGATTAGGTTCGAACGGACGACATTCTAGTTACAAAGCGAGCTAGCTCGTAGACCATTAAGTCACTTGGACCCAATCCAATGGCCAGAGCATAAATTCTAACTTCTACCGATTCACGACACAGCGTGACCACTTTGGATTGTCTTCTCCGATGAGCTACTGTCTTCAACTTCAACCTGTTGTATCCTACTGGTCATGGTTTCCCTACTGGAATCCCAGGTTAAATACCTGCATATAGGCCAGTCAATAGTGAGCATCAGATTAATTTTCAAGTATTGCTTTTGTAGTGTCTTTGTTTCATTGGTTGGTTAGAAACTCGGTTGATGAGTTCTGTGAAGAGTCCCAAAGTAGGCTGAGGAAACAACTGTTTAGTACTCACAGGTTTTCAAATGGTTCTCTAAATGATCTCGTCTCATGATAAAATCCTCCAACCAAATGTGTCTAAGTATATATTGATATTATTTGACATCACTGTGTGGTTGAAACATGAAATTAAGCAGATACGAAGTGCATTTAATTTAATAGAAAATTTAGGTAGTCCGGTGATTTATGAAATTATAAAAATATAACAGTTAGCAGATACATTGCTATTTATTTAGATAATTTATTTTTACAGAAATAATACTAAAAATTTAATCCTTCTTGACGTGCCTAGACACAATATCTAAATAAACGATTAAAATAGCCACAATCCAATAACACACAAAAAAAAGTTGTACACAAACATTATTCAAGAGAGCCAAGACTCACTGCAGCAGTCCTGTCTTAAGGAAGACTGAAAAAGGAATACCCCTCAGGGAAGTCTTTCAAAAGAATGGATATACATATTTACCCTCAAGACAACCTATTAAATCATAGGCCCATAAGTAAAACACAAAGAAAATCGCCCTCTCACAGATATATATAAGAGGCATCTCAGAAATCACTGTGACACTCTTCAAAGCTTTAGGAACTGACGTTGCAAAGAAACCATCAAAATCGCTTCACTCAGTTCTATGTCAACCAAAAGACTCAACAACGAAAGAAGATAAAACCGACATCATTCACAAAATAAATTGTAACAACTGCTAAGAACACTGCATTGGCCAAACAAGGACGTTTCCTTCGTCTTCGTATGCATGAACACAAACTAGTCATCAAGAGACATGTTATCCACCCCCTTACATCACTGCAAGCAGAAAACCATGGAGATTAATTCGACCGGGCCAAAGTTCAAATATTAGGTAGAGGAAACAACAAAAATGCTAGAGAGATTTAAGAAGAGCAGTATTCCAGTGAATCGTCGATTAATAGACAAATCGAGAAAGACAAAATTTACCAGTCGATAAGAAGAAAATCTCAGACACAAAGGGTTAAATTTCAAGTCAAGGAAACAATCAGTACCAACACCAAAAGTAGCCAAGAAGGTGTGAAAACACACAAAAACAACCAATCACATTCAGCATCACCAGGGAAAATGACCAATAAACTCGTGGAGGAATCTAAAAGCTCACTTCAATTCAAATTGAAATATGCACTGAAGATGCCGCCCAGTAGGGGGAAATCAAAGCTTCGCAAATAAATCATCCAGCTAGCTCAGAGAACACAACCACATCAAAATCATCCATCTGAGCTACGAATCCTCTCCATTACATCTGAATCAAAATGGATATGATACAGTTGGAAGTGTTGGTCTTGATTATAGTGAACAGGCCAAGAATTACAGGGAAAGAACATTGTGATGAAGTTTTAAGCCTGTTTGCTCCTCATTTGCTACCAAAAAAGTGTACATACATTATTACAACTCTGAAGTGTATTTCAACTTACAGTCGGACAATCCACATATCACGAGAACAGGATAGTGCTTGTAATATACTACTCTTTTCATCTTCTTTAATGTCTACTTGCGACAATTTATCTTTCAAAAATTGCCATTCTTTTTGACCACCTATACGAATAGCTGTGCAGTAGACAGCTGGTCTTAGACTCGGTGGTATTCTGTAAATTTGCGAAAGACATAAAAAGAGGCTTCATAATATATATATATTTAAAAATTTAAATGGATCATAAATATAAAAGTTTGTATGAAATACGCTTGTGTTTGTTGCTAGAGTCAGAATATTATTCCTACAGTTCAATACAGTGTACTAACAGAATACTATTCCTACGGTTTAATGCTAAATCCGCAGCAGAATACTATGTATATGCATTTGAACATTCTACTTCATGTCGTTTACTGTAAACTAAAATCACACACTCAGTGATTTTTTTTCCTTCACGTTCCCCAGTGGAACACGGGGCTTCTAGCCAGTGGCTTGAAATTTCTGTAGCAGTGGTGTTTATTTTTACAGGATGGGGTTGCTAGCCTCATGCCCAACCCTTCCTCTTTACCAGCATTATTTCTGGTTTAGCGAGGTAAAGGAGTGCGTCTGTGGCCAGGGATCGAACCCCGGACCATGTACATGGTCGGCGAGCGTCCTAACCGCTATGCCACTCACTCAGTGATTGGTGAGAGAATATAAACTGTAGATATATAAACAGTGGTTTGATCAATTGAAAAGGATACCTCGGCTCCTGTGTCTTGCCTTCTGCTGTTACAGGAGGAAATAAATAAATAAATAAATCTGATGCTCACAGTGACTGGCCCTATTCAGGCAGTTAACCTGGGTTTCTAATGGGAAGCCGTGACCAGTAGGGTACAACAGGTTGAAGATGAGGCAGTAACTCATCAAAGAAGACATTGCGAAGTGATCGCGCTATGTCGTGAACTGGCAGGAGTTAGAATTCAAGGACCATTGGATCGGGTCCCAGTGGCTTAATGGTATACGAGCTCGCCTTGTAACCAGAAGATCCTGGGTTCGAATCCCGGTGGGTGGGTGCTGATGAAGAGTCCCAAACTGGGATGAAACAGCTGTCCAGTACTTCTAGGTGTCAGCTCATGATTAAATCCTCAATGCAATGAAACAAAATCCCTACAAAACCAATACTCGAAGAATAAATTTCTCGTTTTTCTAGTAACCTGTTTCACACAACGACAGATTGTTAACACACACACTTTGTATTTTGGTTCTATACAATCCATTCGGATAGTTGGACTATTTATCATCATCACCTAATGTGATTTTTAGTTCAAAAATTACTGAACTAATTATTTTTCTAAAAAGTATCTTGTAATAATAATAATTCTTTCCACTGGTTGATATAATGCTTGTAAAAGAGAGGTTTTTAACGGAACGTACAACTATTTTACTGTCAATACGAACAGCTAAAATGTGTCATTTTTTCTTGTCCTTTAAGTGTTCCAACAGGCAATAAAACCGTTTTAACGTGCAGTTTGATTAATATTTGTGTTTCTAAGGATTTTTTCCCTTTAGTTCCTTGAGGAACATAGGGCTTCAGACACACGTCTCTATTACGTTTGGTTCTCCGTTTGGTTCACCTGAGATTTTCACCTCACCCACATGGTTTCATCTCCTCTTCGCATGACCTTCTCCTCCATGTCATCCTCGCACTGACGACCAGCTTGCCGCTTCCTATTCGCGTTCCACTCCAGCGATGGTCTGGCATGTGATGTCACTTGATGATTTGTTTTGTCAGAGTATGGCTAATTCACCTCCATTTCTTCTTACAAATTTGTGGCACAGTTGGTTCGTGGTGGGTTGGTTTGCTCATTGTCAGAGATACCTCCCTATTGCTGATCTTTTCTGGCAGCCATCTCATCTTGAGTACTTAGCGAAGACAACTGCTGATGAACGTTTATAGTTTATTCCAAGTGCCCTTCGTGACGCTGCATCAAGTCTCTGATACATTTAGTAAGTAGCATTGACTTCACATTGGAGTTGAAAATCTGAATCTTGTTTTTCATGCTGAGGAGTACTGTTGATCCCCACACAGACTTGAGAGAAATGAAAGCTTGCCTCTATTTCCCTATCCTCGTTGCGTTAATATCCTCATCAGTTCTGTCCGCTTGCAGTTGAAACGGTGCTTCCCAGGTGGGTAGGCAACGGAGGTTGCTTCTGTCAGATTTCTCCTATTTATGCTGGCTGATTGTTGTCTGTCGTTGTTGCTGTGGCTGTTGCTGTTGACCAGGAATCTTCATCACCTATGTTCATCTTCATCCCTATGTTCACCTGAAGGAAGTCCTATCTTTGATGCTTCCTCTGTCAACTTGTTGCTTCTCATTTGCATATCTTCCAGTTTTTGTGAAATGAGACATATATATCATCGGCGAAGTCCGGATCCTCCAAGTGTTTTCTGTCGGTCCAGTTTATGGCTGTTTGCTCGTTGCCTGCTATCTGTCACATTATCCAGTCCAACGCATACAAGCAGGAAAATCATTGGAGATAGTAGGCAGCCAGCCAGCCTTGTCTCACTAGCATCTTCACTTCGAAGGATTCCGTGAATTTCCTGCTATAGATTACTTGGCATGCAGCATTGTTGTGCAAATGTTGGATGAGATGTATAAGTGTTGGCGGCAGCCCGTAATGGCGAATTAGTTTCTAAATCACTTCTCGACCGATGCTGTCTGCTGAAGGCCTTTTCAAAGTCTATGAAGTTGAGTGAGGTAAGGGGGCGGGGTGACTGCCATTCCCAACTCTTTTGAATGATGATCCGTAGTATTGCTATTTTATCGATGCATGACTTGTTTCTCCTAAATCCAGCCTGTTCCGGTCGAACTTTTTCACCCAGGGCTTTTTCGATTCTCTCCGCGTAGTAATCACTAAATTCCTAAAACTATGAAAGTAAACACTTTAATAGATACTTACACTGAATACGACTCATTGATTCAGGCAATCGAACACCTTATGTCTAGTATTAAACAAACTTCAGGATCTATAGGCAAAAGTCAACAAGTCAGCAGAAGACACTCACAACGAAGACGGGACTTCATGTAAACATACAGAATCAGGAGTGATGAAGATGCCTAACCAACAACACGAACATTAGCAAACACGCATCACTATCGATGGAAGAAATTTTGAAGAAGTCATTCTTTCGCTTATTTCAGCAGCATCGTATCAGTTACAGTCGAGAGAATGGAGTAGGAGGTGTAAAACAGACATTCTTTACTCTGGAATCAGTCTCGAGGTTTGCGGCAATCAGCATAAATAACAAGGTTCAGATTTTCCATATGAACGGTAAGTCAGTCAATGCTTCTTTGTGGATTAGAAAATTGGCGCATCAGCACAAGCACATGACCTGACTGTGTCGCTTCCCGTTAAGTCTCAGTCAGACTGCTTCAAATTAAATGGCTTCCTGACGGACATCAGTCAATGGTCAAAACTAAATGGCCTCATGCTGAATCCCTCAAAATGCCAGACTGTCGACTTCTCCTTTAGGCATAAACGAGATCTACAAACACTAGTAAGTACTCATGAAGCCTGTAGCTCTGAGGGGACTAAAATTGAAACTAAGCTTAATGCAAAATACCTCGATCTAGTTCTATCTTCTGACCTTACTTGGTCATCTCATATCCTGACGATTTCTAGGAAAGTGTTCCGTCTAGCCTATTGCATTAAGAAACTTAGACCGTTTGGAATCACCCAACCTCTACTTTCACAATTTGTCAACTCTCGTATCTTACCTATTCTACTTTACTGCTCCCCATCAGTCTTTCCTGGGCTACTGAAAAAGGACTATACCATCCTGAGAAGGATGTTGAAGGTAGTTAGTAGGAATAGTGGTGTAAAACTCAGTCAGCTCGTAACTACGTTAGTAGAAAGGCATCTGAATATACGCGAAAAATGGTCTAAAACCATACTCTCCGATCCCCAACACCTCGTCTATTCCCAACTCTCTCCTTGTATCTCATCAGGTGGAACCAGAAATCAGTACAAAATAATATATGCTCGTACAACCAAGTATAGGAACTCAACGATACCATATTTGGCCAGCCCGTGTTCTAAGTGACAGAGACAATGTTAAGCGCGAAACCTATGACTTGCTTTGTTGTTAATAACATAATTTTGGCGCTTTTATTCCTCTCTTATTTGTATTTGATAGTGAACAACCTTCTTAAACATAATTAGCTACCCAAATTATTAACATTGGCTTACTTGTTTGTACTTTACTGTTTTCTTTCTTTTTGTGTATCGACCGGTTCCGACTATATTAGCATTACGAGTATTACAAAATTGTCCTGTCATTAACCATGATGTAATATTACTTTTGTGGTTGTTTTTTGTTCGGCACTATTTAACTGACAATCTTGTCTGTAAACGCCATTATCACCATCTTAAAATTTTGTATTATGCAAGATTACTCACACTACCACAACAAACACCGCATTAGTGCTGACAAAAAAATAACCCTGAAATGTTTATTTCATGATTGTTTAGTGTTGTTTCAATCAAATTAACTGATCATGCGATAAACATTCTTAGTGTCATTTCATAACTTCTTGTGTGATTATAGCTGTTACTGTTCACCACGCATAAATATATCATAGCTTCCACTACCCACTACTGAGATATTATGCTGTTTATTTTCCATTCTACTTCTTGATATTTTTTCGCATTTTTCATTGTTTTTTTTGTTTTTGTTGTTGTTTTTTATATTTATTTTTTGGGACACTCCTTCTAAATGTTTGATAAAATTGGATGCAATATTGTAGATAAAAGCTGAAAATTTAACACTGTACCACTAGTACTGTTTCTGGAATAATAGCGAAATTGTTATTATCAGGCTACTGCAGACCTTAATCAACAGCTGATTTCGATCGATACATAGGTTCGGATGGCGGGCCAAAAAGAATTAGCAGTAAGAAACTATGCAAACAAACCAGCCAAAAAATTATTGGCCAACATGTATCCCGAAGAAAGTGGAGATGGATTTAAGTGACGCTGATGAGACCACTGAGCGACTTCGTGTGCCAGCCAGCCAGCCAGGCAGGTTGTTGAATGGAATCTGAATGGGGAACGGTGAGTTTTACGTCTGTCTGGGAGTGACATGGAGGAGATCGTGTGAGGAGGAGATGAAAATCTATGATCCGTCGTGAGGGCAGCTGAAGGCGATTTTGGAAATCACAATAGAATGGAGTTGTGCTGTTAAAGCTATATGTTCCACTCAAAACCCCTGTATCTGAATACTAATCCCACATAATCCACTCCTGCCCTTAACTATAGAATAGTACCAAAGACAACAGGTTTGGTGTAAGTCTGGGCCTAAAAACAGTATAAAATATTATGGAACTGAATTAGGAATAAAACAGAACAATTATGGGTGACAGATAGACTAAGGGAAACTTACAAGTTCTCTTCAGGATTCTGCATCCAGTTTTTATAATATTCTGAGGCCATTTTAACACAAAAATGATGTTCAGCTTGACATGCTAACCGAGTTAAAGTCAAGCGTAACATGCTGAAATAAAAAATAATAGAAAAGAGATGAGAATTAGAGCAAACTTAATGCAAAATAGGTATATACGAAAGCGATATCTGGTTTCATGTCTAAACTCTTCTTCTCTTCTATTCATATTGTGCGCACATGGATAAAAACACGTTAGGTGTATAGTACATTACATACATCCGGACGTCTAAATAATTTTAACCTCATTTCTGTTAAGAGTTTGGATAAATCTAAGTAGCAAATAGTAAGCAAAAATATTTTGTGCAAAGCTTCAGAAGTCAAACATATCCATCACAGTACAAACAAAATCTTTTTATTCCTTAACGTTCCCAGTGGAACACAGGACTTCAAGCTAGAGAGGTTGCTATACTCACTCCCAGCCTTCCTCTTTGCCAGTCTTATTACTGGCTTAGCAAGGGTTAGGAGTGCGTGTCTGGCGAGCAGTCTACCATCGTGCCATCGAAGCACTGCACAAGCATATGAGATAGTTTATTTAACAGTTATGTAATCATGTGACAGCACCCACCATAACTTCATTATTTAGATGTTACTGCGAAGGAGATCAAAATAAAGTCAGAAAGACCAGAGTAATCATTCGATAGGTGAGATAGGACATTCACTATTCAAGGACATTATTTCCAAGTATCTAAGGTAAACTGTGCCCTCGCGCTATCCAATGTCTGTTAACTTTCAGCTGGACTGTACTAAGATGAACAGCTTTCTATCAGGAGTTAGCAAATAATCTTCGTCTAATAGTTTTAAACTAAATCCCTCCAAATTTCAGACTGTTAATTTCAGTTTCCGATGTAAAAGAAAGTTAAATGAAGCTGTTGGCTTATATGAACTTTGAAAAATCGATGATACTGATATAGAAACCAAGTCTGAAGTTAAATAACGGATTAATTCTTTCTTCTGACCTATCCTGGTCCTCCCCATTTTTTAGCGATTTCTAAAAGAACATTTCGTCTGACATTTTACATTAAGAAGTTAAGGCACTCAGGCATAACTCAACCAAACCCTCCTCTTACAGTTTGTCAACTCCTGTATTTTACCTATTCTTCTTTACTGTTCACCCTTATTCTCTTTTGGATTGCTTGAAAAAGACTATGTCATGCTTCGTAGAACTGTGAAGACTGTCAGTCAGTAGGGCGAATGGTATCCCAATGAGCCATATTGTTGACACTGTCATTGATAGGCACTTGATTTAATGCAAGAAATTTGCTAAGGGAATTTCGTCAGACTATGAGTATCCACTTTACCTGCAGCTCCAACCTTGTGTCTCCTCAGGTAAGACAAGAAGTCTTTTCAGAAGACTTTATGCACATACGTCTAAGTATAAAAATTCCACGATACCAACCATATTTGGCGCGTACTTTATGTCATGAAAATAGTGTTAGGCATGAAGTAACTAACCTACTTTGCACTACTAAATAAACCGTTTCTTCCTCCACCCTTACAGCATCAAACTTTATTGTTATCGTACTACTTATATTTATAATCCTCGCAATTTTTTGTTTTTATTTGTTAATTTTTTTATAAGTGTGAATATCATTTAAGCTGTGTTATTATAACTGTTAATTTTGTATTTCCCCTCACCATACTATATCAACAGAACATTAGATTCAATAATCTGTAACATGCTAAAATTTCCAAACTGAATCGACAATTCTGTTTGAAGCAAACTCACTGTTATTATTATCATTATTATTATATTTAATATTCTCAATTTGTACTTCGAATATTTTTGTTTTTATATCGTAAACGTGGACAAATTTCTCCGATTAATTTTGTTCTAATTTTTATTCTTATTTATATTTTGAGTAAATCGGATGCAATATAGTGACAAATGCTGAGAATTCCATTTTGTATTATAAGTACTGTTTTTTGGAATAAAGTTGATTATTATGATTATTATTTCGCATTCGTTTGTCGACAGTTCAATGTTTATCACATTTATATCAATACTATTACGTGAATACTTAAATTTGCGTAAACTTAAGCCAAGCAGTAGAAAGAATACAGGTAACTTACTGTTTCATGTGGTCTTTGTCTTCTTTCATAGTTTTCCAGTCTACTGTTTTAAGAGGTTCATCAACAAGGAGACGCAGATACGCTTGAAAAGCTCCATAAATTTCATCCATAGCTAACATACGATCTAGGAAAGAAAGTGCCCTCCGTGTTGTTTCCCATGCAACATATTGGTCTTCTTTTTTCAAATATTTCGTTAAATTCAGGTAGACAGAGTAGGAGACAGCATCACGACTAGAATCAATGTTTAGCGAAAAAAAAACAGGTGAAATAAGTTCACAGTGAATTTTTACAATCATTTGTATTCCCCCCACCACCACCAAAAAAAAAGAGAATTACGACATATTCATTCGATGTAAACGTTAGCTGCACTAATCTGAAAGACACTCAACTTAATTTTTAAGCAGACAGAGTAAACCGTTCAGAGAATAATAATAATAATTTATTTATATAGATATATTTTTACGAGTTGATCACAGACTGATATTAGTTAGAGAACCACTGAAAACCAGCGCTGGAGTACTGGACAGCTGCTGTTTTATCGTAGTTTGGGAATCATCGGCAGTACGCACCCACCGGAGTTCGAACCAAGGACCTTCAGATTACAAGGTAAGCTAGCTCATATACTATTCAGCCGCTGGGACCCGATTCAATTGCTCATGAATTCTAACTTCTAACAATTCATGATTTAGCGCGACCCCAACCATTGTCGTAGGTGGGACATCCATTCACACACGTAAAATATGGATGAACCTCACTGGTTATGAATTCTCACTAGAACTCCAGGAAACTCCATCCTGTAGCAAGTCACTAGCGAGCATCAGATTAATTTTCTATAGTTTGGTTTGTAAGGGTTAGTTTTCCTTTTACGAGTTGATCACGGATTGATATCAGTTAGAGAACCATTGGAAACCAGCACTGAAGTAGTGGACAGCTGTTTCATCCTAGTTTTAGAATCATCGGCAGTGCCCAACCACTGGGGATGGATATCTCACCTACGACAATGGTTGGGGTCGCGCTAAATCACGAATTGTTAGAAGTTAGAATTCATGGACCACTGAATAGGGTCCCAATGACTGAATGGTATACGAGTTGGCTTGCCTTGTAGCCGGAAGGTCCTGGGTTCGGACCCCGGTGGGTACGTACTGCCGATGATTCCCAAAGTGGGATGAAACAGATGTCCAGTGCTCCAGTGCTGATTTTCAATGGTTCTCTAACTAATATCAATCCGTGATCAACTCGTAAAAAACGAAACTGATTCTTACAAACTGACTGTAGAAAATTTATTTATGTTATGGAAAATGGAATGGACAGTAAGCACCTAGTGTGCAGATGCGATATAATGCGATACAATGAAATACAGTTCATTTTCAAGTAGTACTCAGAAGTAAAAAAAACATAAATTAGTGTTACTTATGACAAAGAAATATACTCATCCAGACTCTTTTGTACACTGCGATATTTTTATCAGATTTCAAGCTTGAGCTTTGAAGATTCAGTAGGAGTGGGGGTTTTCTCCGACGGGGGTGGAGTCGCTTGTCTCACGCTTAGCCTTTTATTTTTACAGGAATTACTACAACCTGTTAAGCGAGGTTTAGGAGTAAGTCGGTTGGGTTTGGAACCTCGGACCACTTGCAGCGTATTTCGCGTGCATTCCACTTCTGATTCACCGATGTACACACACTACAATCTTAAAAAAACACAAAACTGATCAGTCCTTTCACTCACACAAAAAATAATAAGAAGGATGAAACAGGGAAGAGAATGTGTTATTGGGAATCGAATGAATGCTTCAAAGTGTTCTAGCTCATAATAAGTGAATACATTTGTTACAGCTGTTTCGTTATTGTTTGGAACTCTTCACCAGTACGCACTCACCGGGGTTCGAACCTAGGACCTCCTTGTTACAAGGCGAGCCGGCTCCTAGACCACTGAGCCACTAGGACCCACTCCAATGGTTCTTGAATTCTAAATTCTGCCAAATCAGGAATGGCGCGACCATTGTCTTCTTCGATGAGTTACTACCTCATCTTCAAACTGCAGTAACCTAGTGGTCACGGCCTCTCACTAGAACCCCAGGTCACTGCCTGAATAGAGCCAGTCACCAGTGAGCTCAATGGTCTACGAGCTTGCGTTGTAACCAGAAGATCCTGGGTTCGAACCCCAGTGGGTGCGTACTGGTGAAGAGTCCAAAGCTAGGACGAAAAGCTGTCCAGTACTCGCAGGTTTTCCAGTGGTTCTGTATTTGATATCAGCTCATGATGAAAGCCTCCATGCAATCAAACAAAAATCCCTACAAAACCAATACTTGGATGTTTGGCGTAGACACTGTATCTAGCTGTCTATCACCACTTCGCTCTATTCTTCTTTACACCTTTAAGATGTGATCGTTGAAAATGGGAATATATGCAGAGTTTAGTTGTCTTTGGCCACAAATACTTGCACTCTATAGCCCATATTAGGTAGAGTAATGTAGTGTGCTGTATTGAGATTAAACGTAAAGTGATAGGTAAGTAGAGGGTACGTCAGTCGATGAGGTTGTGAAGCTACATCGACTGAGATGTGTAGGACATGTACTCTTCGTGATCTTCATGTGATCTTTGACCGTTACCTTGAGCCAAGTGGGGAAGTGTATGCTTTCTGTCTTGAGTTGTCAGAATAATAAGAACCAACATCTGGGGATATTAAGTGACATGACTCAAAATTGTTCTCAGTACCACAGATCCATTTAAATACTATTGTTTTTCCGTACTACTATTACTTCTTTTTCACAGTGACGCTTATTGTAGTTTTCTGATTTTCTCTTTTGTCTTCCTTTGTGTGTGGTATATGGAGTGTGAAAATTCAAACTGGTGAACTTCTGTGCAAAGTTCTCTGATGTAACTTGTTGTGGTGAGAGCTGGCTGCGAACAAACCAAAATTGTAAACACCAATTTACGTCGGTGTTACGTCGTGAATCTGAGTCATGAGAAAAAGGATAATAAAACTTAAGCTTGAGAATATCATCAGCCAATCACAGCAGACTTAACGTGTGGAAATATTATTCACAGCTATATATGGCTTAATTTTCTGAGAAACGGTCACAAAGCAATACAGAATGACCTTCATCAAGAAGAAAACTAATCAGAAAACGTTTCTTTTCCGATGACAACAATGCACATAAAAATCTTTAAATTACACTTGACTTTCTCAATAAACAATCTGTTACCTAGTCTTTGTATTCTGTCGGTACACTGTCAGTCGGGCAATAAGTTTAAGAACAGTTTGTAAATATCGATTAGATACCGGTAGACACTTAGAAGACTGTACTATATAGTAGAGACTATATTTAATTCAGTTAATTTAGAAAATTCTACTTACTTGGCTAAGTTGAACAAATCATCCAAAATCTGTGTACGTGAATGAAGTGGAATAGCCTGAAAGTAAAAAATGAAAAAGGGAAAAATAAGCAACTGGACACCTTTGTCAAATATAAGGATAACACTTGATCACTGTGGTAGAGTATAACTCCATTTTGGATGGAATTTTATTTCGATAAAAATCATACACAGTGTTGTTATACAGTCGTGTTTACCACATTTCGAGCACAATTTATTTTTATTTTTTATTTATTTTTGATTACAGCTTGATTCCACACTGTATTTTTGGTACAAGTGTGGAATTTTCAGCGTGGATATCGGTAGCCCAAAATTCGCAGGCCGACCATAGATATCAAGTGTGCGTCGGCGTGGGCTCGAACCCCGGACTATGTGCATGGTCGGCGAGAGTCCTAACCACTGTGCCACCGACGCACACATGATCATATCAAGGCACTACGCACACAGTCTTCTCACTTCGTTTATATACATGAGTGAAATTAATTAGATATTTGAATAAAATCAATACAAGATGAAGTACATTCAGAAAAAATAATATTAGTGTCATCAATCAAATACAATCAGATGGGAAATAAGACATGTTTTTTTTATAGTCATAATAAATAACTTGTTAGAATGTTTTGATGTGTTTGAACTGAAATAGAATTTTAAGATTATTTATTATCCTCCTCTAATTTGACTTGTGGTATTAATATCTTCCATATCTCTGGTATTTGCGTTGAGTCATTTCTGTTGCACATGGTGGGTGTAGATTATTCGATGAAACAGGATTCAGTAATCAATCTCTCTCTCTCTCCGCCTACCTATTTAACAATTTTGTGCGTTAATGAATGCAGTGAGATTGCTGAGATTTCTTCTCGGGCTCAACCATTGTAACCTTAGTTAAATTCTTATGTTCTGACAGACAATCTCACCACTCCTGACCTACTAGTTTGACTTATGTAGTTGACTTAGCCCACAGTGATTGCAAGATATTTTGTATATTGTATTATTTTGTTTAATTGGGTCAACCTACAGGGTCCTTTAGTCTACATTGCCTGTCCTACCTGAGTGAGTTAGAAGGTCTGGATACCAGACTGATTCCTGCTTTATCGAGTGCGTCTAACATTTTTCAAATGTCAGATGACCTCAGTTTCTACTTCAAGATATTTCAAGCCAAATACTTTAACCTAAGAATAACGGAGCAGTTCTCATTAGAGACAGATGGTGAAAATTATTCAGTTTGTAGATTCATAGGGAATAAATATCTCACCAAATAATTTGATTAAATAATCAACCATGTTAAGTAAGCGACTACAGTCAAGATACTCTGTCAAGATTTCTTTAAAATAACAATTAAAGAGCATTTGTTGTGTGTTAAATTCAAACCGATTTTCCATAAGTAATACAGATTTGCATAAAACACTACATGCTACTGATTGACTAAATGAGTAGTTACATGTCAATTATATCAATTAGTGGCCATGGCTGGACGGATCAAGGTGATCTAAACACCGGAAAGGGAGGAGTTCCTCAGTGGTGTAACCAGTTTGACTCGACTCAGTCATCTGGTGGTTAGATCACCACGATCTGGGTGGACAGCAAACACTACTTACTACTTATCTCAGTCAATCAGTAGTAGTACATAGTTTTATGCTTATATGTTTACTCTCTTGACTATCGTTTATGCCATCAAGCAGATCATATATTTATGTGCTCTGATGATGAAAAATTCCAATTTTGGACGTGAAGTTGGTGAGAAAGAGAGAGAGACAGGACACTCGAAAGATCTGTATATCGTAAAGACAAATGGAGTGGTCTTTACTTGAATTTCAACAGCTTCTGCCCAGTGAGATACAAACGAACGCTGGTGAAAACGCTTTTCTCTAAAGCGAAGAGAATATGTTCACCGAATAAACTAGACGGTGAACTAATGCTTCTTGAAAAATGTTTGAAAGAAAGTGGTTACCCACAAAGTTTCATTACCAAATATGGTAAGAATGAACTCAAGAAACTTGATACAGCTACAGCCAGTAGGATGCTTATTTTCATCAAACTCGACTACAACAGCGACAACATTATGAGAATGGTAAATAAAAGATTAAGCGCAGCGCTGTCTCGGATGTATCCTGCAGCGTTACTAGTCTCTCTATCCCGAACAGTCTCCTCAGTGGTGCAGTCAAAGACTGACAAGTACCCCTCACATGCCACCTCAAACTGTGTATACCAATTCTGCGTGAGCAGTTACAATGGAAGAACAGAGAGGAGGGCCTACGTCAGATTCTGCGAACATGTATCAAGGAGTCTTCGGTTAAAGCGACCGAATTGTTTAGGCTCTTTAATCGCCAAACACCTGATTGACAAAGGACATCGAGTAGATGTGCTGGAATCATTCAAAATAATTAACAGACAAAGTACCTCAAGTCTTCTCAGGTTTGCTGAAGCTATAGAAATAAAACAATTGAAGGCTGACTTATGTGTCCAAAAAGAATCCGCTGTTGGACTTCAATTAACCTGGTGACTCACTTCTTAGTAACTCTCTACACTCTAATTTTGTTAACTTATCTTTTCACTCCCCTCCCCGTCTTTATTTTTCGCTCGACTCTCTTAAGAGATCATTTTTCTTGATCTTCTGAGTTCTGCTCACTGTATTACATCACCAACTTCTCATCTGACGTCATGTGCTCCAAAATTTGGATCTTCTGTCATCTAATTACGCAACTATTACTAATTTTCTTTTGTTACCACCCCAACAACAGAATTGTTAGTTAATTTTTTTTCAAGAAACTTCTCTCTAACAAGATATGAAAATATGCTTGCTAATGGACTAAGGTTTGTTAAAATTGTACATCTTTTTATTTTATTAAAGAATTCAGGTTGTGCTCAGCTGTCGAGATCCAACGAAATAAAATGGATCCAGATTATTCTGCGTCAATGTTTCTTCTTTCTTTGACGTCAATTTTATAAAAGGCAATCATTGCACGAAATACTTTGGTTTTCATAAGAAACTGTGGTGAAAATTTCACCGCCTCATTAAACTGTGTCAAAAATTGCAAATTATGAATTTGATAATTAAAGATTCACTGGGCAAACAGTTGGCGAATTCAAAAAATAGTTTGCAACAGCATTTAAAAAAGTGTTTTTCACTGACTTACTCGAAAGTCTTTATTCAACTGCTGGGTTAACAATTCCCAGTTATTATCAGCATAATGAACACGATAAAATCCAGCTTGTTTAATATTAAATAAATACCATGAATTCGGTTCAACGTCTAGTGTTTGGGTCATTGTCTCTGCAGAGTGTTTAGGAAAAACCGGAGAAACAATAAGTCGAACATGTCTTTTTTTGAGTTATTATCATAATGATAGTAGTGGTAGTATTAATTAATGTAATAAATTGATGGATTAGTTCGTGATTATTGGCATCCATCCAGTCATATGTGAAGACAAATACCCGCCGATAAAGCTGGCTGATGGTCACGATAAAATTGTTAGACGATAGCATTCATAAGCCACTGAACTGAGTCCCAATAGCTAAATGGCCTACCGGAATATCCTGGGTGTTCAAATCATAGTGGGTGCGTGCTGATGATGAGTCCCAAATTAGGATGAAACAACTGTTCAGTACTCCCTGTTTTCCAACAGTTATCTAATTGATACCAGTCTGTGGTGGAAAGTTACTCTTAGTAGTTGAATTTTTACGATTACTTTTACCGGGAAATATTATTGAGCCAACCAACAAGAATATGGAAGCTTTTAACATTTCCTTTTTATTTGCAATTGATAGTGTTCTCTGAGCTCCTTGGTTTAATTGCGGAGCTTTCATCGTCTTTCTGGACGACATCTTCAGCTCAGAGAACACTATCAATTGCAAATCATCCATCTGAGTTACAAATCTTTTCTATTATTTCCTTTTTATCTTGATTATGAAAGCGTCATTAATGTGCCCCATAACTTTATCAGCATTTACATCAGTGATATGAGAATATAACTTAGTCACTGTAGTAGGAGGTGACTGCGCAATGTGATAATCTGATTTTCACGACATAGTACTGGACGTTGTACATGATTGATGTCTAATGTCATGCAAACTCGAAGGTCTACTGCCAAAGCCTACAAGTTGCCAAAAGAAGTAGTGAAGACTGAACTTCGAGTGAACACAGAGAAGGTAGGGGTGATGAAGCTACCTAACCAAAATCATCATCATTAATGCCAAAAAAAAAATTTTGCTTGGTTCACTTTGTCCACTCATCTAGGCAGCAAAGTTTTTACTGCAGGTAACGTCATGGGTGAATAATAATAATAATTTACTTTATTCCAAAAACAGTACTTGTGATACAGAATGGAATTTTCAGCATTAATCACAATATTGCATCTAATTTCCTCAAATTATAAATAAAAATTAATCACACAGAAAATTTTCCACATTTACAATAGAGGTAGTGTCAAAAACATGCAGCATATAAAATGGAAATAGCAATAATGATGATAACAGCTAGGGTAATAATAATAAGAATACAAGTGAAAATTGCCGTTGGCTTGTGTCACACAGTATTGGCAATGTGTTTAAACATATTGAATATAATGTTCTTTTACATGATATGGTGAGGGGAAAAACAAAGATTACAGCCGTCATGGAGATAAGTTGGTGTTTGCAATTATGAGAGTAAAACAGAGAAGTAACAGGACCATAAATAATAGAAATAATAAAAGTAAAACTTGAAGGTATATAAGGATGGATGGAGGAAATTGTTTATTTACTAGATGAAAAAAGGTTAGTTAATTCTTGCCTGACACTATTTTCATCACATAAAATACGTGCCAAGTATGGTATCATAGAATTTCTATACTTAGACGTGCGAGCATACAGTTTTCTGAAGTTACTTCTTGTTCTACCTGAGGAGATGCAAGGTGAAAGCTGAGGGTAAAGCGGATGCTCCAAGTCAGACAAAATCCCTTTAGCAAATTTATTGCACGAAGTCAAGTGCCTATCGACAACGACGTTAACTATGTGGTCCACTGGGACACCACTCACCCTACTGACAGTCTTCAGTATTCTACGAATTGTGACATAGTCTTTTTAAGCAAACCAGGAAAGAATAAGGGTGAGCAATAAAGAAGAATAGGTAGGATGCAAGAGTTTACGAACTGTAGGATGAGGGGTTGAGTTATACCCGAGTGTCTTAACTTCTTAATGTAAAATGTCAAGCGGAATATTTTACTGGAGATTGCTAAGACATGGGAAGACCAGGAGAGATCAGAAGAGAGAATGAGTCCAAGATACTTAATTTCTGATTTGATTCCTATATCATTGTCGTCAATTTTACAACTGTCATGAGAATCGATGACTTCTTTTAACTGTCGTTTACATCTTAAGCTGAAATCAACAGTTTGACACTTAGAAGGATTCAGTTTAAGACCGTTAGACTCAGACCATTTGCTGACTTCCGATAGAAAGCTATTTATTTTAGTACAATCTAGCTGGGAGTTAACAGCCATTGAAACCGTTAAATCATCAGCATACTTCACAAAGTTTATTTCATCAGAGTGAGGCAAGTCATGCAAGAAGAAAGAAAAAAGAAAAGGAGAAAGGACAGCGCCTTGAGGGACACCAGCTTCAGTAGGCAATGAAGTGGAAGACTTTCCTTTATATACGGTGTACTGAAGATGTTAGAAGCAGGATCCAGAAAGAAAGATAGACATTCATTACTCTGAAATCACTGTGGTGATCCACTGCAGTCAACAGTATTGTCAAGCCAATTCCTTCACATGATTCACAGACTTGGCGTGTGTGTGTGTCACGGAGAGCATTTCCAACAGTTCAATGAAGACATTTTCCAACAGCTAACTTCAACAACCTCAAAACTGAAGATCAGAGATGGCCATAAAAGATAAGCCAACAACAAGGAACTCTGTGAACGAACCAACCAAGAACCTACTACTTAACACGTGGAAATCGATCGGACACATTCTGAGCGACATCGCGTGCCGAAAACACCGAGTTGAGTGTTCAAAGTTGACATAGAGGGGATCGTAAGAGGGGAAGATGACAGTCTACGCGTAGTCATACACCCAGTTAAGGATGACTGTAGAGAGTAGGACAAAAGGAGGCCGTGTGGCTGAAGCCTTGTGTTCCACTCAGAAAAAAACCCACTCAGGGGAATAGTAGTAGTAATAACACGCATATAAATTACACACATCTTGATAGTATCTACGATTTGATCTTCTCTTGTGGTGAGGGCTGGCTGCTAGAGAAATTGGTAGACATTAACTTAAGTCAATATTGGTCGTGAGAAAAATAAGAACAAAGACTCTGCGTAGGTGGATACAGTTAGCATATAGATGATGTGACATTCAAGAAACAGCCATGAAGAGATGAAAGATTAACTTTCTGTGAAAAAAAACCAATCAGCAGACTGTGTTTTGCTGCTAACAATAATCTATATTAATGTACATGAAAATCTATAAATATGTGTTGATTTTCTTAATAAATGATCTGTTGCCTAGCACTTGTCTTTTGTTGTTGCACTTTTACTCATCAAATAAACATTCATTACCTAAAAGACGTATTTGTAAATATTACAAAAGAGAATCACAATCATTTATATAGTTAACGTTTTAATTTAATTTTTAATTCGAAATAAAGAAGTGTCACTAACTGTTCATCATCCAGATAACGTCTACTTCATCCCAATTATCAGTTTTGCCTGATCCATACGTCAGTGGGATTTTCCAAGTAAAGCTGAAAAGAGCGAAAAGTGCGAAAACAACTAGTCAGGCAAAGTGCTGAAGACATAACATTCATTTGAAATGAATTGAATTGAACTCACCATATTGTCTGCTCATTTTATCAATCATTCATCATTTCGACAAAATTAACCAATGAGTCGCAAAGAAAATAAAAAGGACAGTTCAGTGAAGAAGATTTTCTTTATCAACAAAATCGTCTTCACAGACTGTATAGTCGCCATGATAATAATCGAAAATGCACAGTGGTCCATTGATGATTAGTAGTGGTGTATGTACTACATAACTGATACAATTACTCAGAAGTTGCTTTAGAAGTAAAAAGTGAGAGTTGTAAATTACGCAGTACTCAACGTTACAAAAGAAGAATGCCCGGGAAATTTGATAAGGTTCAGAATTGTAACTGAGTAAGAAGAAAGGTAGCAGAGTGTCTATTTAACAAGAGTGAAGAGGGTGAGAAAATGTACAAAAGGAACATGTGAGGGTAATAATAGTGAATAAATTAATAAACTAAAAGCAAACTAATCATTAAAAATAAAACTAAGAAATTTACAGGGGATGGCTAATGACGAGGCTAAGACCATGGTAGAATAAGAGACTGGACAAACCTTTTCTGTATACTGCGAGAGTTTGGGGTTGTATTGACGAATTGTCAACGTCTCCACAGTACACAAATACTGAGACCTAACGCCCTCTACCCTCATTTCGTTTTACATTGTAGATAAGCTTGAAAGATGACTCTAGTGAAGTTGTATAGCTTGACTTCACTAAACGCTTGAGAATTGACCAGCAACTGCCATCTTCTTAATTACTGCTTCCATTTATTACAGAATTCTTTTGCAGATATATCCAAGCATTCATTTCCGGGTACAAACTCTAAAAGTGTAATTCCTGAGCGCTATTTAGTAAGTTTGGAGTCTCTTACCACCTGACATTATATAATTGACTGAATGACTGACTGGTTCCAACGTAGACATTTGCACAGATTTTCAGCAGTTCGACTCGTCACACTCCTTTTATTAGCACACAAAACAAGAGAAAGTAATAGAAATGCAAAACACAGACAGTTAACAGAGATATGAGGCGAAAAGAATAGTAACAACGAAGAACCATATAGTTTTATTGGATACTGTAAGTCACAAGGAGTGGATGCATATGCACCAGCCATTGGGAACGATTTTGAGCCATATCACTATTGTCTTCAGCCTTCATTGGTTTTTACCTTTCTGAGGAACTCAACCAGTCAGGAATTCTACACCTTCCTACGTGACTAGCTTAAACCACCTGTTGTGGATTTCACTGACTGATGCGATGTTTTAGTTTCACGACCACTACCTCTTTTCCAACCTGATCCATCCTATGTCGGCTGACATTGCCCGTCAGTCGAGGAAAGCGATGGATAGCGATGCATGCGGAACACATGTCCTTACTATCTCAATTGATTTAACTTCACAGACTCGTCAAATGATTTCCCCTCCTTACTTAGGTTAGTACTCGACCGATGCCTAACCTCAATGTTGCTCACCCTATTATACCACTTGACATGGGAGATAGAATGCAGACAGACAGATATCTATGACGAAAGACAACTAGACAGGCTTTACATTTCTTCCACTCTCAACGGTCATGTGTCTCTGACAGACAGCCGTAAAGGAGGACGGAGCGAACTGCTGCTTAGCTGTACACACGTCTTTTGGTGGACACGCAGCTGGATATGACGTCTACTAAGCCAGAGATGGCGTAAACTGGCGCATGGTAAACTAGCCATCTGTATCTGTGCCGAGATTTCGTCAGCATCTGCATGTATGCTAAAACTGTTTCTTTAGCATAAACCTGAATACTACTGACTGACTGAAATGGGTGGCGTTCAGCTACTCATATCGATTAATCAGTAGTATATAGTTTTTTTAAAAATTTCTTTCCTGTTTGCATCACCGTCCATGGTATCAAGGGGATCACCTATTGTCATCTGGATAATTTGGTTTCTAAAGGTAACTGTGGTGCGAAATTTTACGTCCACTCGAACTGTGTACATTTCAAATTGTTATTTTGATTTAACTTTACTTAGCCTGCTCACAAATTATGACAAACCAAGAAAATAAATGATGATACCATGTTATTCTGCACAAAACACTCTTGCTCTTACTTTATTTAAATTCATATGCAACAACTTAATCTGCTAATTTGATAGCGAATGGGACACATAAAGATGAATATTACTAATCATAGTTATTAATATATATATATATATATATATATGTTTTTAAAATATTCTGGTGACTTCGTTAATGATTTCTACTGTAAAAACATACTACTGAAATACACTGTCCTCAATTATGACCAAGTCGGCAATTAAAACGGAGGGAAATGCTATTTAATAATACACCTGTACTGCTGACACTCTGCGATTTCTAAACATATATGCCTAATGTAAATCACATTCCTACAATCAAATGAAAAAAGAAACGGGAAATACAAGAAGAAACATGTTTCATTTGTATATATTCAAGACTTTTTAAGGATCAAACAACTTGGTATAATAATGTAAGAAACGAGTTGTAAGAAGAATCCATTTGTAGAAACACATGTTCAGGTTTTTTTTTCTCCAAAATTCTCAACATGTGCCGACAGTCTATCGGAAAAGTCAGGGAGAACTTAAACTTTAAGCATTAGTTACTGGTAATGGACTAATGACCGTGAACGTACGAATCGTATGATAAAGGCTATTTTCACGTATAAAATACATATGTTCACGAATATCATGTACAAAAAGGGCATAACATTGTGTGACAAGATGACTTCCAAAGGAGTATCAGTATTCATCTAAATGGCTGCGAAGAAAGTCCTTTTCAGATTCGTCAACAGCTGCAATCAAGTTCTTCAGACTTTCCAAAACTTCTTCGAAAGATAGAATTTGTGTGGGTCGCTGTAATGGGATCCACAAAATCTCTAGACTGTTTGACGTTATGGTGAATTATACCCATTCCATTCATCTGTGTGTAATATAGATCTTGATTTCACCGATCCAGTAATACGAGGGTATTAGAGTACTTGACCTTCTGTCTGTGCTATTCTTTCAGTGAATCTTTCCTGCAAAGTGGAATCGTACAACCAAATCTCCTAAATGTCATGTGCTTTTTCACGAACATGGTTATATTTCCCTTTTATTAAGATTCCTTAATCTATGTGTACAACGACACCTTCTACTGCCAATTAAAGGAGTAACTCATTGATTTGATGATATTAGATGGGTGAAGGCAATCGGCAGGAAGCCTTGCTTGACTTAGGTTTCGTGCTAATTGGCACTCAGCAGCGAGGCGTGTCTGCAGTCTTGAAGTACCTCATGTTCCTTCTGAGCCTCGAACTTGGGTCACCCAGTGCTACAGTCATATATGTTACTACTAAGCACTGGGTGATGCGGGTTTGAATCTCATAAGTGAGGTGAATTCCTTCGAGATTGCAGATGCGCCCTGACAACTAGTATGAAACCTACGTCTAAACAAGGTTTACTGCCGATTGTCTCCAAACATCTTACATTAACAATTCAAAGTGCACGGTGAGCTACCTAGAATGGTGGCCATATTGCAAATTTGACTGATAGAATTCAGTATGTACCAAACAAAGAGGACTGGACACATCGCTCTAGTTACTAGTATCCAATCAAAGAAGCAACTCTTTCCATCTTCAAAAATGCAGTATCTGTGCAGTGCAGATTCCACAGAACTGCTGAAACGAGACGATTCTTCGTAATTACGAATATAAAAAATTTGGGTTAATGACAAATCTGGTCTAGCAGATAATGTTTCTACGAAATATTCTAATCATCAGCTTACCTTCCCTGATATCAATTCGTCTCAAACAAATTTCATAGAGATTAAGTTGTCTATCAATCGACCTACTGAAGCTTTTTATACTCATAATGCTTTCATAGGAACAAATTCTTTCCTTTCCAGTCAATCAATCAATCAACCAATCCCAAATCAGGCATTACCTGAAAATTTGGTCTTCACCAAATTTCTGAAGTAAACCTATTTAGAGGGGGGATTTCACACTTGAATCGAGCGGAATAGAAGCTTGAAATTTCGTGAAGAAAATCACTGGTCCATTTGCAGTCGTCAGTACAATCACACTCCGTTGGTAGTTACTGGTGCTTAAAGTTTAACTGTGTGACATTCAGTTGAAATCGATTTCATGAACACTATTCTAAGACCTTGATTAATCTCCCAACAATATATTGTCACGATAAAATAATTAAAGCAATTAACAGTATTCTCTGAGCTGGTTGGTTCAGTTGCGGAGCTTTCATCGTCCACCTTCTGGACAACACCCCCTTTCAGCGCAATATTGAGCGTAAAGTGAAATGATTTAAATTGCTTCATGAGTGACAGAATTGCGTCTCCCGGTAACCATCTTTACTATGCAACAGTTACTTTATGGTGATCAAAACAAGAAAACGCAATGTTCAACTTAGATAGAATTCATAGAATTATGCCTTACAACCTACTTCCAATTCAATATTCAAATACATGAACAGATAAAAGAAGCACCATTGGGATCGCCCACATCAGGATTAATAGATGAAGCCATCATGAAAGATCAGAATTAATAGCTCTACCTATAATTAAACTGAAAATATGGGCACTTTACGTTGATGATACATTTGTATTAATTAAAAGAAATGATTTAGAATATACCCACAAATAATTAAACAACATATGTGAAGACATAAAATTCACCACGAGAGAAGAAGAATTAGATAATAAAATCCCATTTTTAGATGTCTTAATCAGGAATACTAACACAGGAAATTTAGAAACACAAGTATGCGGAAAATCAATGCACACAGACCAAATGCGCAACCATAGTAGTAATAACCCAATTACGCACAAAAAATTGTGTTGAAGACACTGTTTAAAAGACTTCAAACACACTGTAGCACTCCAGCGTTGAAAGAATAAAAGAAAAGTACGTAATAACTGTCTTCGAAAAGAATGGATATCCTGGCAATTTTTGTCAAAAAGTGTAATAAATTGAGTCATAACACCAACAAGGAACCATCATCAAAGAACACAAGAAAATTCATCCTACCATACATGAGAAATATCTCTGAAATAAAAACTAGAATGTTGAAACCGTTGAAAATAGATATACCACATAAGCCCGTGAAACCGCTTAATTTGATATGATGCACACCGAAAGATTCAACAGAAAAAGGAGATAAAGTTAATACCATTTACAAAATAAATTGCACGTATGAACTGTAAAAGGCATTACATCGGCCAAAGTGGGCGTCCAGGAAGATAAATCAGCCGTGAGAAGACATGATAAATATTCTTTCTGATAAATACATACAGATAATTATGGATATGAGTTTGATTGGAATAATGTCGAAATCTTGGACAGAGGAAACACCAAAAACGCGGTCAGAGAATTCTCAAAAGCCTGTTACTCAAATGAATGTGCAATTAACAAACACGTTTATATCGACGAAATATACCAACTAATAAAAAGTAAATGACATGTGACGAGAAAGTTTAAAATCCAAGCCAATAGAAAATGATCAATACATATGTAAAGATGACTACCGGCAGACGCAAATTACATCACTCATGAAAAAATTTGAATCAATTCACTTCATGCTAACTAAATATTGCCCTGAAGGAGGATGTTGTCCAGAAGGTGGACGACGAAAGCTCCGCAACTAAACCAACCAGCTCAGAGAACACTGTTAATTGCAAATCATTCACTTGAGCTACAAATCTTCTCTATTATTCCAAAAATTAATGAAGGATATCAAAATAATATATATATATATATTGTACTTAGCTAATCTTTTTCTTTAAATTCAAAGTCAGAAGGATGAATGTTGTGTTAAAAATTAAAGGATGAATACGTATAAAATGATGAAATACACGAACAGCTGGAGATGTTAGCTGCCTGTATGACAACACAAAATATGCAGGATAAATACTCGAAAGATAAACTATCATATACATAACTTAGCCCCTGTCTTGATGACTTGAAGTAAGGAAATCATTGTGATATTTTCTTAAAACGAACACAGGTTAGTATAAATAAAAGTTTGATACAAAGAATTTGAAATCTAGCGCCAACTGGAAATCGCTTCAACATTTTTAGTAAATCAGATTTTTTGAAAAAAATCGGACAATATTGAGTATGTGTATGTGTGTGTGTGTGAGTCAGATGCCCTTAATTTTGCTCAAACTTAAATTTGACTAGAACGAGCCTAAATGGCCTTATATCATCCTGGAGGAAATTAAACCGTCCGAGTGCGGTAGAATATGCCATTATAATCCATCAAACAAATTAGTTATTTCATGAGACTTAGTTTTCGGAGGCTGATAATATCTGTAGGTCGGTTGTTCTCACTGACTCACACTAGCCTCACTTTCGTCTTTATTATTCGAGTCAGCTCAGGAGGATCAACAGTGATTACAAACAGGTATTGGTACCCATTTTTCAGACGAGTAAATTATTGCCTTGCAAAGTTGAATCCTACTTACGTAATCATTATTAATGACGGTTATATCAACCTATATCAAACTTTTATGACATCAGCGAGCCTCAGACAGCAGTGAAAATTGTTCATCTGGAAAAAGCACACTTATTCCCGAAAATATTCATATGAAATGTTATTAAAATTTAATGATGCACATCCATCGCTCATCATCATTTGTGAAGAAGAACATGATGGTAGACTACATGTCCCTGACGTCCAACTGAGCAGAAGAAAGGATGGTTCACTCAAGAGAGATGTCTATAGAAAACCTACATCTGTAGGATAATATACACATTTCCTCAGTTTTGTACTAATCCGATACAAGGTCAATTTGGTCAGATGCCTCACGAATAGAGAGAGAATGATCTGTACAGATGTACAGAGTTAGGATACATCCAAAATACGCTGGTCCAAATGGGTTATCCTAGTAGATTTGTAAGGAGACACATGAATACCAGGTAAAATGAAGAGAAACTGAGAACAGTTAAAAAGAAACAACTGTTCATGAAACTGCAATTTAATGGGACGTGGTTAGCGAAGTCTTACATAAGAAATTATCGAGAGTGATAAAATGGACTTATAGTGCCGCCGCCCTATGTTTGTCATTTTCCAGCCGACCAATTTTGATTGCTCAAGTGGAAGACAAGCTACCTAGCTGTGCCACATCTGTATGTATCTGTAAATTTAGTTGCTCCCGTGGAGAGAGCTATATAGGCCGAACTACTAGACAGCTTAACAAAATCATCATCACTGAGTATCTTCCTTCATGGTTTAAAAAAGGTCAAATAAAATCAATACGAATTTCTATTTTGGCTCATTTGATTGATAGTGGTCACCAAGTGGACAACAATAGTGCCTTCAAAGTTATCTATCGCATTCCATCGAGCCTTTCAAACGGAATTCGAATCCATCTTTTACATATAGTCGAAGCTATGGGATTTTGAAAGAACAATCCTAGTCTTTGCATACAGCAAACAAAGTTTGTTCTACCTTTGTCCGTCCCTTGGTATAAGTGAATTCTATTCAAAACTCTCCCCCTCTCTATTATTTTTCACCTCCTTCGTGCTTTTATGGTATTTATTTAAACTCCGATTATCTCTCCACTTCACCTACTTTTAGTATTACGTAGCTTTTAAGATTTGATCTAATATATTTATTGAATTGTCTACATATACATACATGCATATTATTACCTTCGTCATTCTTTTCGCCACCTGCTTGAACCGTATTATCATTATTTTGTTATCGTTATAATTATCGTTATTATCATAATTATTTGATCCACAGACTCACCAGAGTTGGTTCTTATTCTCTATGTATAAATCTATGTAAATAAGAGTAAAGCCTGAAGAAGATCTAATTGAAAATGACAATATTGTCAGCTTATATGTCTCGTTCTAGTATTCATATTGACGGAAGGCTACCTCAAAAGGTTTAAAATAGATTGTTAATAGCAAATATGTGATATTTGCTTATTGAGAGGATTAGAAAAACGGAATGTGAATAGGAAATATGAATATGAATTCGCTTACTTGTAAGGGGATGGATTTTTCGGGGGTTTAGCATCTGCTGGTTCTAAATAATGCTTCTGTTCAAAATGAAATTGATTATCACTAGTCCTTTGAATAATTACAAGCGGATAATTCATTTGTTTCATCCATGTATCCATAACTGACTTGACATTGACTTCTTTGTTTACAGCTTCTGAGGCCTAAAATTTCAGAAAAAATAATATTTTTCTTTTTTTTTCGTTTGACAGTAAATAACACAGTATCTGATGATATGCATTTTTTACAGAAGTGGTAATTTATCCTATAATAATACTAATATTTGAAATTTATTCAAAGATTTTTATCCTAATGAAGGTTTTCTAGTAGCATTCGCCAAAACATTCAGACCATCTCACAATTCAACTAAATAAAATAACTTATCTGCTCGCTATGTACTAATTACCCCTATTTAACATAAAACGCTGAAAACATGCCTCTCATGCTAAATTGGGAATAATATGTCATAACTCTTATAACAAAAGTATTTTGCAAATTCCATTATAATACAACAACATTTTAGTAAAAATAGTTTTTCTGGAAACTTCTAATGAAATTCCCAACTTAGGAAAACACTAATAAATGTAACTGGAATATATTCATTAAGGATACAATAAATGATACTGTTCTAACTCTTTAGGTGTTGTCCAAGTTGCCGGCCGTTTAGCATTTTAGCCACACACACCTCTTCGTTAAACACTAAAATTCCATAGAGATAGGATGGAAACTTATACTCTTAGAATTCAGCAACTAAAATGTTAAAATATGTGTATGAATCCATTCCTTAGTCACGGGCATTTTAGATACAAGGAATTTTTTCAACACTTGGGAACATTTAAGACAACCTTATCAGCGGTAAATTTCTGCCTTGAAGCAATTCACTTATATCAGCTGTGTATGGAATTCGTTAAAGAGAGATTTTTGAAAAGCATCTCAAATATCTCAAACTCATAAATTTATTATGAAACAAGAATAGCATTTTTTTTTATAATACTGTATGCTCTGTGACTTTAGGAACTGAATTTGCGTTCCCGAGGGAATTCGAAGTTCTAATGATTGCAGTCAGTCAAAATGTGTCTACAATATTTTCTTCCGCATTCATTTTAATGATCGGAGATTCAATAAAACAAACCATTGATTCCTCTACTGTTCCGTATCATAATCTTTATATTTTGGTTAAGATTTTACAGACGTTAGACTTACCTTTCAAACTATTCTTTACTTTCATGCTTTCTGAGCTAAGTAAGAGACACACGGGACTCTAAACTCCACGAATGCAAAAAGCTTGAGTGGTACTTACCAACTTAAATCAACTATGGTGTAGACGTGATGTCTAACTAACTATCAAAGGACTTGTGTACCACGTAGTGGTTCTCTTTGTCCTCCTTTACGACTGTGAGTTATAGCCATTGAAAATGGAAGGTATGAAAAAGGCTGGTTATCTTTAAGCACAGACGTTTCCATTCTATCCCCCGTGCTAAGTGGTATAATCTTGTTAGTGATATTGAGGTTGGGCGTCAACTGTTAGGCAAGAATGGGAAGTTGATCGATGCAGTTGTAGCTGAGATACGTGCTGAGCTTATTATCACCACCCTCCTAAACAGGCAAGGCTATCCTAGCATGCACCAACTTACGCCACCTCTGCAGTGGACGGGATATCTGGCTGTCTACCGAAAAAGTGTGTACTGCTCAGTAGTCCGCTCCGTCCTTAACAGCGATCAGTGAGAAATATCCGTTGAAAGTAGAAGACATGAAAAGGCCAGCTAGATGTATTTGGTCATAGATCCCTGCCTGCATTCTCTCACCGTGTCAAGTGGTATAATAGGGTGAGCAATATTGAGATTAGGCATCGGTTGAGTGCTAAGCTAAGTTAGGACAGGAAAACAATAGACGAGGTAATAAAGTTACATTGACTAGGATGGTTAGGACATGTGTTACATATGTAACCCAAGCCATCGCATTCTTTGATCGACGGGCAATGTTAGCTGATATAGGGTCAGGTTGGAAAAGATTATCGTTTTCCTGGTTTTTTACATGGTTTTCCATTATTATATCACACATTTGTAAGACGTCGCTGCTTTATTTCATAGGGCTTAAAAGCCATTTATTGAAAAATGATATTTCATCTTCTAGGTTACTGATTGACACACTTTGGAACTAGCCTCTTAATTCCTCGAATTATAAACATACTTTTCAAATTACAGTTTTCTTGTATGCATTCAGAAGTTAGGAGGTAAGCCAACGCTTGATGTGAGTAAAACTCAACAAAATTTGAATTTCCACTATTCTACCTGACATAGCCGTTACATTATCGACTTTTTGCTGTTACTACGGACTAAAATGTTCTCCTTTTTATTTCAAAATAGGACTGGAATAATGTTATCACGAACCATATGTACCCACGGAGTTCCATTTTGATAATTTGACCTGCTTATTCAAAGTTTCTGTGAAAGTGATTGAAACACGATCACAAAGACCGAAATTCGCCTTCAGTCGCTTCAACTTTGAAAACTTCCTGCAAAATAGTCTTACTGAAAGAATTTATTCATCAGTAAAGTGCAGCTACCAGATCACTTCCCTCAGTTATCCATGGCATATCGTTTTAGCTACAGGTGGTAGCACTGATGGAGATATCAAAACCAGAATTAGAAGGGTAAGACAGACATATACTACTCCGAAATCAGTGTGTAGGTCTGTTCCACTCATTGTTAACAACAAGACTCGGATTTTTGACACTAATCTTAAGTCAGTCTGTTCCTCTATATAGATCAGAGACTTTCCGGGTCAAAAAGTTTATTTCAAACCGGCTACTAGTACTGCGACTTCCTTCGTTGGTCCCATAGAAAAGATTAGAAGGCTAATCAGAAAGAATCAGCGGTAAGAAACTATAGAAACGAACGAATCATAAACCCACTGGTCAACAAATATCCAGAAAAAAATGGAGATTGATCAGACATACGCTGGGGAGGCTTTCGAATGATGCCGTGTACCAGCTAGGGTGTCTATTGGAAATCGAATGGGAAACGACGAGTTGGGCATGTGTCTGAGGGTGATATGGAGGAGATCATGTGTGGAGACATTATGAGTAATCTTGGGGTCATATGAAGAGAGCCAAGGGATTTGGTTGGGTTGGAATGAAGGTTTTCTGATGAAATCCCAAATTCCACTACGAATTAATCTTGACAATAAAGACTTATGGTTTCTAGTTTATACCCATTTAACTAATAGTAAATAAATGGACCAATTTTTTCAAGATTCTATAAGAGACGAAAAATCGGTTGTTCTTCTATTAAATTCAGTTTATTTATGTACCTTACAAGTTTTTATTGATCGTGTACGACGAAGAATACGGTGATTCCAACAGATGAACGCTCATATCAGGAGTAGGAAATGAGTATTGTAGGATTGAATTTCTTGGATGCCATGGTAAAAAAACAAATATTTAATAAAGCATACTACCATTTGTTTCTATAAATCCACAAAAATAGCGTAAAAGGCATGTATGAAAACACAGACGCCTGAGCTGATATCTTAAACGGTAATCAGTTATTTAATTGACGGATGGTGACTAGCAGTGGAATCCAAGATGCTCATGTCGTCCTACTTGGGGCTCGTCTGCCAGCTGGATGCACCTGGATCTCCCACTGAGTGATGATGTTCCCACCGAGGTTCAAACCCAGTGCACATCCTAGATTCCCCTGCAAGTCACTATCTACCAAATAAATTCTGATTAAATGCCCAGATATTGTCGAAGCATCTGCACAAAAAGCCGACATGTCAACCTGAGACCGAGTACCTCGGTCCAATCGGTCGGTGGGGAAAATCTAAAATTAAATTAAAGGTAATCAGTTGTAAGCATTGGAATCATTCACTTTAGATGTTGAACTCAGAGAAAAACAAAATAGCGAAAAGTCACTTTTAAGTTTGAAAGTGAATAAATTAAAAGGTATGCACACTGACGCCCACGATTCATTTAATTTACAAAGAGTACAAACGAAACTCTGGTTATAGATCTCGTTAATATAATGCACACAAAAAAATCTTGAATACTCTACGTAACTCAAGATTAGAACTCACAATACTAATTATTTCAGACAGCGTAGTGAACCATTAGAACGGCTAATGACTATATCATTTACTCATAATAGTACTTATGAGAAAAAAAGTAGCTAAAATACTATTTTGTACAGAATAGGATGGTACCATCATATGTTTCGTTGACTTCACATCAACTGCATACGGCCTGCTAGTGTTACGCGATGTCAATTAATGTAAGGAGACGCCATTTTTTACAAACAGATCCCAGAAATTACACTTATATAGTTTGTACCCAGAAAGTTGAAGTTTAAACAAATATTAGAGACTTGAATTAATGGCAAACGAGTTACGTAAATTATTATATTATTATTCTATTGAATTCAGAGTGGAATATAGGGCTTCAACAACACATACCCACTTTGTCCTATCTTCTGCCATCCTCTTCAGATTGCACCACATTTGCCCATAACCTCTCATCTCCTCCTAACGCGATCTCCTTCATGTCACAATCTCAACAACGATCCATTCATTGCCTTCCAGTGGGATTCCACTCCAGCACTGGCCTGGAGTGCGATGTCATTCAACGGTCTCCTCAATGTATGCCCGATCAATCCATCTCCATTTTCTCCTGCATATTTGTTGAGCAATCGGTTCTCGCCTGTTGGTTTGTTCCCACAGTTTCTTACTACTTATTCTTTCTAGCCGTTTGATCTTCAGTATGGAGCCTGTGAAGTGGGCAGCTGTTGATGAAAGTCTCCAACAAGCTGTTGGAAATCCTCTTCGTGACACGCAGTACAAGTCTCTGACCTGTATAGAAGAAGTGACTTCACATTGGTGTTGAAAATGCAAATCTTGTTCCTTAAGCTGAGTGTGGAAGATTTCCAAACTGGTTTCATTTTGGTGCGTATCTTGCTTTTCTGATTCTGTATGGCTGGCTTTGACACCTTCATCCTTTCCGCTTGCATTTGAAACGATGCCTCCCAGATAAGTGAAGGATGCAAACTCTGTTAAAGCAACCCCGTTGATGATGATCGCTGATGGTTGTTGTTGTTGCTGTTAGTTGGTTATCTTGATAACACACATCTTCTCTATGTTCACCTGGAGTCCTATCTTCGCTGGCTGCCAC